ATATAAAGTTATAGGATAATTACATTTTCCTTCTATTATAACATTTTTCCCCAGAAAGTAAACATCCATGAACCATTTATTTTTTTAGACAATGGATTAAACAGGCTTAAACATCCAAAATACATGTACACAGCCAATGAGCCATTTAATCACATCATAATTCCGCAATCTTTCGTATTATGCACATACCGTCTTTCCATAGAGCTGTGAACAACAACTCCATCGCTGCCAATTGTCCCCTGGCGAACACCCCAGCAGCTGATGCCAAATCCACTAATCAAGGAAAATAGAGAGGACATAACCAATACAGACGAAGGAAGATAGAGAGGTCGACACACCGCAGCCGCCAACCCACCCACTGAGCTAGGAGATAATTCAAGGAGGATGTTGAGGTGAGGACGGAACATGGGAGGTGGATATGGACATGGCGCTGCAAGCCTGCAACAGCCACTGGAGGGAGGGAGTCGGGAAACTACAGGAGACCCACGCCGTCCCCGCCACTCGCTGCTCTCCGCCCGCGGACCACGCCATCCCCGCCTCCTACCATATGAAGTTTTGTGAAGGTCTGGTATGGTAATTATATATAAAATTATCAAATTGAAAGCATTTTTTACTTTGAAGTTACAAGCTTTTTTTACTACAATTAGTTAACTACGAAAGCTCAATTATACAGAGCCATACAGACACCCTTCATGATGGGCCAAAAAATCTCAAATATGCAGTACAAGAGGGATAACTTGAACGTAAAGCAGAGACAAATCGATACAGAGCAAAGACATGGGAACAGAGCAACAGGACATTAGTGCAGTACACATTGACGATGCAGGGATGCACGATGCAATACCTGAGGACAGCGCCCGTTGTACAGCCCAATCGCGAGTGAAGCGGTTGGCGATGCAGTAGCTCGGCGGCGCAACCAGCTCGGCCTCGCACTCCACAACCTTGCGGGAGCGCACGTCAGATCGAGACCTCCGTCCCCGCCACCCGCGTCGCCGTCCCCCCGTCCACAGCGCCTGCAGCTCTCCGCTACCGCTCTCTGCCCGCAACCCACGCCATCCCCGCCGCCCGCCGCCGTCCCCGCCATCTACGCCAGCAACCCACGCCATCCCCGCCGTCTGACGCCGTCCCCGCCACCTACGCCGCCAACCCACGCCATCCCTGCCGCCTGCGCCGCCGTCCCCCCTGCCCAAAGCTCTCCGCTCGCACCTCCGGCCCGCGCCATCCGCCATCCGCCATCCGCCATCCGCCCTCCTCGTCCGCCCTTCCCCTCAGACCTCATCCTTTCCATTTTCCCCTCTTCTGTCACTCTCTCCTTGCTATCCATACGTATACTCGTATAGCGGAATAGAAAAGAAGAGCAAAAAAAATTAGCTTAGACAGAGTTACAGAGTATTAGTTGCCTACTACTAATTAGTATTTTAGTCAAAGCAAAGTGATGCAAAATTTGTTTGGTTAAGTGCAGTTTTTTTTTCACAAATGCATAATTATTTCATCTACATAGATTAACAAAATTTAACAATCATCTGTTTTTCCTGTACTTGCGAGACGAAACTTTTAAAACTAATTGCGCCATGATCTGACAATGCCGTGCTACAGTAAACATTTGCTAATGACCGATTATTTACGCTTAATAAATTTGTCTCACAGTTTATATGCGGATTATGTAATTTGTTTTGTTAATAATCTATGTGTTAATAATTCAGATAACCACTTTTCTCTATCCTCTATTTTACACATGCTTCTAAAAAACCCTACGCTATCACATGATTTAAAATCTTAGACCTATTATTTTGGACCATTACATTATATCTTTTCAAAATAAAAAACATATATAAAATATAAAAAAAAATATGACCATTGTAACTTTAATCGGTAAAACAATTATTTACATCCGATAGACCAATCCTTAAAAATACAAATCCATTCCACCTCCCTCCCGTACATAATCACTCGTCTCTCCACGATATCTGTACGTACATGCAAGATATATATCTTGCATATAACAGAATTTTAAAAAATTACCATCGAGACAATCGTCAAGCTACTAATGCAAAGGTTGTTTGATTATTATTTGTCCAGATGATAATTTGATCTAACTGGGTTAATACATTTTAAATTTTTTACACTCTATCCAAACATCCATTCTATTCCATACTATATTTTAAACATTCATTTCTATCATATTTATATACCATTTTCTTTTCTTTTCTCAAAATCATTTATATACCATTTTCTATTCTTTTCTAAAAATCCTGTGTTACAAAGGAAACCCTAAATTCTTTCTAATAACAACAAAAATTATGATAGTTTAAATAATATGCCCGCGCAACTGCGCGGGCTACCTTCCTAGTTCAGTTATAAACGGCAGTGAAGACACCATGCACGAAATTCAGAATCTTTTTCTTAGAGAGTGAGCTTTGAGCTAGTCTTCTTGAGCTATAGGAAAAGAGAGTTTTTCAAGTCCATCGGGTGGTACCTCCAGGTATCGGTACTGCATGGTACCAAAGTAAATCTAACCGTTGAATCAATAGGGTCACGATCGGAAGAACAAAATGAGGATGGATAAGGCCTCGCGAGCCGATCCTCCCGCGCCAATGCGCGACCCTGTCAAAGGCGCGAGGCCAACCTATCTTGGCATTAACGCGAGTCCGTATCTGTATTTGTTGAAGGTGGCCTACGACCCTAATTCTTTTCGACGGCTGCGGTGGCACGTCGGAGAGGCGAGCCCGACCACATTTGATCCACACAGCGGCACCGAACAGATCTAAGGCAGCGCAGCCACCCTAGTTGCATATTTCTTTCTTTTGCATCGATGTCTCAGCCTGGTGTTGCCATCTTCGCCACCAGTGCCAAGCCGCAGTAGTCGAGTAAACTAAGCCACCACTAGCGACCATCTGTACGCCGAGTCCGCAAGTGAATCCACCGCCACTAGCTCCGATGAGATAGTCTTAGATTGGTTGAGGGTAAATGAGCATGACGGTGTCAGGAGGTCATGTCTAAAAGGAATTTTGTTTCGGATGAGAAGATCTAGATCGAGAACCTCCGTAGCCATGGAGAAGAGCACAAGCTTCCACTTTCTCTGTTCTCATGAGGGTGAGGACAAAGGAAAAAAAAAGCGGATGAGGGTGCAGAGAAATCAAACGTGGAAGAGAGAGAGAGAGAGAGAGGGGGGGGGGAGGCTGAGGTTGTCGTTGATCTTGGGAGGAAGGACCATGCTGCCGGCGTGTAGGACGGATGCAGAGGAGGTGCCTTCGGGTAGATGGATAGGGAGGAGCGAGCTTAATCAACACAATACAAAATTCGAGGTTTGCCCTTCCACTTAATCATCCTAATGCGGACAGAGGGGAGGTACAACCCAATGGGACTATGGTACCTCGCGGTACCAACATTCATCAGCCATCGGATCAGGCTAAATGGACGTACATGATTTGGTACCTCCTCTCCGGATGGATGATAGTAAAGCTCATAGGGAAAACTGCATGAGCATATTAGGCCCATGCAGTTTTTCCCATTTTTAAAATTAGCAATATTATATATTTAAATATAGAGGTACAGGAGCTGGTTTGGACTACTATTTGTTTCAATGTTTCAATCTTGAATCAATAATAGCCTGAGTTTACAACAGAAAATGTGCATATAAATGATTTAATGAGTTTTGAGTTTTTATCAGGCTTGATATCCCAGAGTTATTTTCCTCTACTTATATCCAATAATACAAGACTGAAGATAGATATGAGCAGGTGAAAGCAGAGTTTAGTAGGTTTGATTCTGTTTGACAGGAGCATAAATTATTTTCTCTGTTGAATGTTCATATATAGAGAAACCAGAGACAAGGTAAAAGGCGCATACAAAACGCTAAGCCATTGATCAGAGTGAGACACAATGCATCAAACTTTCTAAGAAAACTGCATGAGATCCCTCCATCTCTGTACAGCTATAGGCTTGGAAAGCATCAAGAATGTCTTCGAAGCTGCATGTCATTCCAACATTGCCGAACGCTCCACATCACCCTTCCAATTCTTAGATAGGCTAGGGGATCTCTGCTTCACTATCTTCAGAGCATAGGGAGCCTGACAATTCCTAATTTCTGGAGAGCATGGCGATTCTGTGATGCTGTGTTTGTAACATATGGACGGCTCATGCTCATGAATCATGATTGCAGTGCTGCTGATAGGTTTTTTTTTTTTTGAAAGAAGGGCATAAGCTTTGCCGCTTTTATATTGATAGATAAGGAGTAAATAGATATTTACAGGATCCGACAAAAATCGTGCCAGGAGCAAACAAAAAGCCTAATCTCCCGCCGGTAAAATCTCAATTAGTTTAGTCGCTCCCGCTGTTTTTTTAGATAATAGAAGCTTTATTTAGACTCAATTAATTACAATCAAACTGAGTCACCTCCGGCCTCTGCATAAAATGCACACAGCCAAAAAAAGAAGAAAGAAACAACTAGAACATCTCCCAAGCACAAAAGTTTAACAGAAACATATATCGCTCCCGCTGTGACCCAAGTATGCGCCTCCTCCTTGATTTTGGCAGTGATGGTAGCAGGCGTGGATGTAACTTGTCTGAAGATTCTGGTGTTTCGCTCGCCCCATAATTCCCAAGCAATCTGGATGATCATTCTGAAAATTGTCAAGGGTTGCAGCAGTAGCAATGTTAGATAGAGTACCACTGGAAAGCCGTAGACATATATCTGCATAATAATAGCTGGGAACATGCTGAACAAATTAGTATTACATGTTCTTAAATTAAAATGATAAAGCTGCCGAATTTACAGAGTCAATGTAAGACTGCCGACTGATTGATGTCTGTTTAACACTATGCAAATAACTGTACACACTAATTTCATGTCAAACTACTTGGGACACGGTTGAGTATTGAAACTAGGCTATGGCAAATTATTTTCACCAGAAGTAGCTCGAGCTGTTAAAACAGCTGTGAGAAAAATAAAGAGTGCAGATCATGAGCCACGCCCAATCATATAAGAGAGAATCACATAATGAACCGTGCTCACGGTACAGAATTGCAATTAGGAACGTGTTGACATTGAAGATTGAGATTGAAGACGCACATCTATATATATTTCTGGAGCTAGGTAGCTCGTTTGGCAAGAAACAGATGACCATGGCCAACTGAAGTACAAAAGCCTAGCTAGAGCTTCTGCAAGAGATGCCATGAGTGTTAGAAAATTGCAAGCATGAGAACGGTGAAATCATATAGGCTTGGGAAGCATCGGGAGTGCATCTGACACAGGAGCAGCGAAGGACTGTGCAGCGGTACAGCTCTCCAGACTCATGGCATTTTCGATATGAAACGAACACAGAATGAATCATGCATATGACAGTTCAGTAGTAGCTTAAGAATCTATGGAGATATAAGCAGCAACCCTTGACAATTTTCAGGTGTTTTGTGCAGGGTGTTGGAGCGATTTCTGCTGGAAACGTTTCTTGGAGCTGTCACTTGATTGGCCAGTCTTGCAGGTGCACATTGTGCACCGGCGTCATGTCTGATAGGGAGAAACCGAATGGACAGTACAAGAACGCAAGGATTTCGCAGTTCTTCGATCCATATTCGAGAAGCAATATGTCAAACTCCAATTATGCTGGAGGTTGGGAGTGAATAGGCAGGAGTAGAAGTTGCAGAGTAATGTTGAGATGGAAGGAAGAAGATGTCAAGACTGTACTAGAGGTGAAGATGTGATCCTGCAAGAGTGATTAGTGTTGTTGTAAACTCTGCTATTGTTCGTAGCTACGATCTTGTAGGCCTGATATCTTTTGAGCTTTTGGTTGAGAAATGATCATGACTTTCCTGTGCTCTGATTCTTGTTTTGGCAGGTTGTTGAGGCTGGATTAGGCTTTGTCTAGCTGTTGATTTGCTGTGAAGCACCACCCATAGATGCAATGGGGATTGTCTGCAGTACTGCTGATGCAGTAGCAGATACTGACGTATGCAGTACTGCAGAGGATCTACATCCTCATAGATGATTTTTCTAGATAATGGAAAATTCATTTCACCCTTTTTCCCCTGTATATCTCCTTTAAAATTTCTGTTTCTGGGCATCTTTTGGTAGACCTGATGTAAGGCCTTTTGGCCATTTATTCCCTGCCGATCTCCTTTGCTCCAAAGAAGAAAAAGAAAAAAAAATCAAGTGCCGACTGTTTTTCTTAAAAAAAAAGTTCATTTCGCCATCTATCTATTATTATATACTAAAAGTCCATTAAACTCCTACAAATGCTCTTAGACCGCCACGTGGCACTCCTACAAATGCTCCTAAGTCGCCACATGGCACTATCTAATCTCATCGTTGATTTTCACTTAAATTGGTGGACCCGTTATTTTACACCATTAGATTACATCTATTATTAAAAAATAATAACTTCCTCATGTACATATGAGTTTGTACGGCCCCTGCTTTCTTTCCGTACGTACAAACATTGTATGTGATTGAAAACAAAACTTTCCTAATCTTTGCTGGGAGAAAAAAAACATATACATGTACATAAAAAAGACGGAAAAAACATACATTCTTTAAAATCAACGGTTTTAAAATATGATTTTCTACAGTATAAAGATAAAATATATTACTTCACAAATATAAATATATTTAGTTAAATTAAGATTTATAATAAATATCCAATCAATGTTCTTTTAAACCATCATCTAAATCTATCTATTATATATACTAAAATTACATTAAACTTTTTCTCAAATAAATTAGAGAAATCATAGAAATTTAAAGTAAAAAAAAGAAAGCCATCCAACCTTCAATTTTCAGTTAAATTAGTGGACCCGCTATTTTAAACATCTATCTATTATATTATATATAGTAAAAGTCCATTAAACTTCCTACAAACGCTCCTAAGCCGCTATGTGGCGCTCTAATAAATTAGAGAAATCCAAGAAAATCTAAGAAAAAAACAAAACATCCGACCATTAATTTTCACTTAACATGGTGGACCCATTATTCTTCACCATTAGATCTATCTTTAAAAAAAAAATCTTAAAACCCAATCCATAATCTCCTCCCACCCCAACCCCACCACCTAACTTATGTACGTGACCTCCTCTCCCCTCACGTACGTACGTACGTCTCTCCCTCTCATGTCCTTCCTTTCGTCCTGCCATTTACCTTCCAATCTACCAATTTTCTACCTAGCAAAATTCAATATGTAAATAAAAGCAAATTATCTAAATGATTATAATTTTTACAATATTTATTTATCTACATTGGCCATGTTTGGATATACAAGAATATATCATTTGGAAAAAAAACTCCTATCTTTTACATCAAAAAATAAAAAGTTATTAAATATTAAATTAATAACGTGTATATGATCTTCGCTCACTTTCTCCTCCCTATTTTTTTAGCTCGCAACTCAGTATAAAAATAAAAAGAGTAAATTTCACAATATTATATCTATATATCTATCATATACTCTCTCCGTCGCAGAATATAACAACCTAGGATATAACAACCTAGAATGGGATGAGACCCATGCTAGGACAATGTATATGGACATGAGCTAGGATGGGTCTCATCCTATCCTAGGTTATTACATTCTAGGACAGAGGCAGTACTAAAAGTCTATTAAACTTCGTACAAAAGATACTAAGCCACCACGTGGCGCTCTAATAATTTAGAGAAATCCAAAAAATTATGAGAGAAAAGCAAAACATCCGAGATGAACCACCATACCTAAGGCAGCTAATGTGATTTACCAAGGTCATCACGAGTGTCGCAACAGTACTGATTTGCCAAGGTGAAGATGAATCAAATCATCAGTGTATAATGGTTTGTTTTGTTAATAACATGAAAACAAATTGAAGGTGTGATGATAGAAAGAAAAGAATCAAGCACCGAGGTTTGAACCATTGGATCCATCCTTTTGTTTTCTTATGTTAGTAAAAAAACCACATCTTTCCCACTCTCTTCGGTTCATCCCGTTATCTATGTACATACATATATATATATATACGTACATCGGTACGTGTATTGACACCCCTACACCATCCTAATCATGCAAGTCTCTCCTTCCTTCTGTTCTATCTCTTATTTTTATGCAATATTAATTATCTCTTATTTTCATGCAATATTAGTTAGACTATTAGACCAACTTTTATAAGAAAACAAATCCCTTTCACCTCCACCATCCTCCGTATTGTCACGACCATCATTTTTTTTAGAAATTTCTTTACTTTTTAATTTATTTAAATTGTTACTTAATTTATAATTAAAGCAACCTATATTGCTCATATTTTTGCTATATATGAAAATACGTTGTATGACATAGAACATATCCTTTATATGACAACCAAATAGTAATGAAATATCAATCTATATATTATATACTAAAAGCGCTATAAAACTTGCTACAAATGCTCTTAGTGGATTCCTACAAAAACTTTTTCTCCCTGCACGGAAAATGAGGTAGCTCATCAACGCATGATTAGTTAAGTATTAGCTTAAAAAACTTGAAAATGGATTAGTATGAATTTTTACGATAACTTTTCTATATAATTCTTTTGTAAAAAAATGCACCATTTAATAATTTGAAAAGCATGCATGTGAAAAATAAGGGAGTAGATGTTGGGAAAGTTGGAGAAAGAACACAGTGGCCACCACGTGGCACTCTAATAAATTAGTGTAATTCCAAGAAATTTTGAGAGAGAAACAAAAGTCTAACCGTCGGTTTTCATTTAATCTTGTGAACCCATTTATTTTCAACCATGAATCATTTTGTAAAATACCCTTATACCCTGCTGGCCGTACAAATGCTCACATACTCGGTTTGAAAAAAAAAGTATGCACATATTCTGTTATCATGGCGCAACACACCTCTTCTCTATTGTAAGGTGGTTAATTAAGATAGAAACTTACCATTTAATATTTCTTGGATAAATGAGAAATATTAGGCATGTGCCTTCGTGTGGCTTCCACCACACATGCAAAGAAACGCAAGCATGTAATCCAATCCCTCCATGACTCCCACCCGTGCCCTCTAATATGATTGAAAAACATTCGTAGAGAAATACTACTTTTGAAATTTGAAGCGTAGAATGTACTGTTTGGTTAATATTCCAATCTTATAAGTTTCTTGAGCACAACTTACGATACATGATACATGATCGTGCGTATGCGCGGGCTACCTTCCTAGTTTGCTTTAAAGAAGCTATATACATCCACTCACCGATGATGGGATATGGTGTCATTCCTAGAACTGCTTTGCTTTACCCCTTGTCCTGCTGGTGAATAGAGTACCATGCAAAGCTGAAGCTATTTAAACAGCTGTGACAAAATAAAGAGTTCACATGAGCCAGCTCGTGTAATGGTCTGCACAAGATTTCTCATAAATGATCGTATACTGACAGTACAAAATTACAATTGACTAGTGTTTGACATAGAAGATTGATATTGAAGCTCCTGCATGCATGTTGTTGCAGGAGCTTGCTTTCCTTTGGCAAGATATATATAAAACCCCATGACCAGCAGTACTACAAGTGTAAAAGGTCTTGTATCCAGAAGGGTTCTTCAACATCTGCCACGAGTTATATAGCACTAGCGAAATTGCATAAGATCACAGCAAAATCGATCATATGGTAGGCTTGGGAAGCATCTGGAGCATATGCGACACAAGAGCTCGGCATCAATCTTGCAGTGGCACCGTTCTAGTCGCATTTTTGATATGAACGGACAGACTCAAGGGACGATCTTGCATTCTAGTTGGTAGCATCAGGATGGATACGTGCATCAACCCTGGAAAATTTCAGATGTTGCATAGAGAGTTAAAGAGAATATGCCTGCCATTGGAGGTGATATTGCACGTTTTACTTGGCTATGCAACCATTTTGCTTTAACATCCCTCCTCCCTGTATTGCCAAAAATATTTTTGTTAATTGGCTAACGGGAGTGTCGAAATCTACTAAAGAACTTATTTTGTTCGGGGTTAGTGCCTTATTGTTGCGTGCTCTGGTGTTACCAAAATGATATAATTTTTAACACCAAAAAGATGTCTAATATAATGGAGGCTATTTTCATGTGTTCCAGTTCGCTCTACTTTTGGTCATTGATGCTTTTACAGGAAAACAGGATACCATGCGCATACCATGCGCAGTGGTGCTATACTCTTGAAATCGATAGCCAAAGACCATTTATTCCACTTTGGATGACGTAGCATTAGACGTGTTAGAATATATGTGATTTTGGAACTTTTTGACGATCCCGTTATTTGAAAGAGTTACCATAAGAAATTGAAGAGTTACAATTTGTTTCATATTTTAGTAGCGCTCTCATTTCCCGTGAGATTGAGATCTCCCTGCTGCATGATGTTCAATTCTAAACGACCGTAGGTTATGTTCTACCCTGACAATTTTTTATGTGCAGAGCATGATGACTCTGTGATGCTTCCTTAGTGACATATATATAACGGACAGGTCATGTTGATCTGATTAGTTAGTATCTATTAGTGACCTCATCATGTATACATATTGATCAGTACGTACGTAGCAATATTTGACATACAGTCACTACTGGAGAAAGCGTTTTTGCTCTTGGTTTGTAACCCTCTATACTCCCGATTTTATAAAGATAGATATCTTTAGTCCCGAATAAAATAACCAGAACTAAAAATTCATCTTTAGTCCTGATTGGTGTTACCAACTGGGACTAAAGATGGCAGCGCCAGTCCTGGTTGGTCACTATTTTTTTCTTTTTTTTTTCATTGTTCCTTTCCAAATCGAGTTGCTCCTTCCCAAATCAAGTTGCTCCCTACATATCGCCAATCATATCCCCAAATCAAAATCAAAGTATCATCACAAATCAATGAATCATATATTCACATCACAAATTCTCAACAAAAAATCTTAAATTCTAAAAGAAATGCATCACAAATCACATACATCATATATTTTACATCACAGATCCAATGAATCACAACTTCTAAAAATTCTCAGATCCAATGAATCACAACTTCTAAAAATTCTCAGATCCAATGTATCACAAATTCTAAAAACAAAAAAAAGACAAAATGCTACCGCTGCCGCCTCCCGCCTACCCTCCGGCAGAGGGGAGGGCGCTGCCAGCCGCCAGCTGTCGTTGCCCTACCATCCGCCTGCCGCCAGCCGCCGCCTGACGTGCCCTCCGCGCGGCCCGCCGTGCCATCTGTCGCCGCCTGGGCTTGGCCGCCGTCCCCGCCCGGGCTCGGCCGCCTGGAGAGGAGGAGGCGGGGAGGGGAGGAGAGGGGAAGGGGGAGGAAGGCCAGGGAGGGGAGAGGGGAGGTGGAGGCTGAGATGAGGCTGTTAATTTAATGAGAGGGGAGGAGAGAGGAAGGTGGAAGGGATAAGAACGACCAACTGACTGAGATGAGGCGCACGGGTCGGGGTGAAATTTGGTCCAGGTTGGTATATGCAACCGGGACTAAAGATATATTTTTAGTCCCGGTTGTTTATATCATCCGGGACTAAAAATAATTGGGGCCTGACTTGACCCGACAACTTCATGAATCGAGACTAAAAATGATCTTTAGTCCCGGTTAGTGTTATTAACCGGGACTAAAGATCAAAAAGTTTTTAACCGGGATAAAAAATAATCTTTAGTTCCGGTTCCTATTCGAACCAGGACTATTGTGAATTTTAGGTGACCAATCAAATATGGTTTCTCCAGTAGTGAGATCAGTCTACATTATTTTAATAGCTAGGAACATATGCTGAACAAATCAGTATTCCATGTTTTAAAATTAAAATTCCAACCTAGTGAATTTTTACATAGTTAATGTGTAAGACTGCTGACTGGTTGATATCTGATTAACATTATGCGAATAAGAACGTGACCTGTATATGTACACAAACTTCATGTCAAACTACCTGGGTCATGGTTGAGTATTGAACTAGGTGATGGAGATTATTTTCACCAGAAGTAGTTCAATTCGCTGTTTCAACAGCTGTAAGAAAAATATATGAGCCATGCACACTGGTAGAGAAATCTTTTTACTCCTGGTTGGGAACCCCCTTAGTCCCGGGTTTCCAACCGGGAGTAGCAATTCGGGACTAAAGATGCCCATCTTTAGTCCTGGTTGAAATGATCTTTAGTCCCGGTTGGTAACAACAACGGGACTAGGTTTTTTTTTCCTTTTTTATTTTCTCCCGAATCTGGGTGGTATGCATATCTTTTTTATTTTCTCCTGAATATGGGTGGTATGCATATCCCAAATCGAAGTAAGATCTCAAGTCCACATCACAAATCTTAAAGTTCTAAAAAATTATATCACAAATCCTAAAAAAAATTACACACAAATCAAATTACATCACAAGTTTCTACAAAATTCATCACAAGTTCACATCACACACAAATCAAATTCATCACATGATCCTGCAATAAATCACAAATTCTTAAAAAAAAGAAAAAACAATAACAGAGGAGCCGGCCGACCGCTGTCGCCTAGCCTCCACGCTGGCCGGCCGGCCACCGCCACGCGGCCCCGCCGCGCCGCCCGCCCGCCCGCTGCCGTGCCGCCTCCCCTCCGCGCCGGCCGACCCCTGCGGCGCTGCCCGACGCCGCGCCGCCGCCGCCCGCTGCCCGCCGCCGCGCCGCCTCCCCTCAGCGCCGGCCAGCCCCCGCGCCGCCGCCGCGGCCCTCCGCGCTGCTGCCCGCCGTCGCGCCGGTTTCCCCTCCGCGCCGGCCGGCCACCGCCGCCTGTCCATCCGCGCCGCTGCGCCGGCTGCTGCCCAGCCCGCTCTCTCTCCAAGCGGCTGGCCTCTCTCGCTCCGATCCAAGCGGGCTAAGGAAGAAGAAGAACTAAGGAAGAAGGAAGAAGAAAGGATAAGGATAGGGAGTTAGAGAGGAAAAAAGAGATAGAGAAAGAGTTCGTTGTGTGGACGGGAAAAGAGGATAAGTAATAGGGATTATTAGTACGTGTTGATTTTTATTCCCGGTTAGTAACACCACTCGGGAATAAAGTTAGATCTTTAGTCCCAGTTAAGATCCTAGCCGCCTGACACGATCTGACATAGAGACAACTTGATCTTTAGTCTCGGTTGGTAACCCTAACCGGGAATAAAGATCATCTAGTCCTGTTACGCTTATAAACCGGAACTAAAAATCGTTTTTAGTCCCGGTTTTTAATGGAACCGGGATTATATGTGGATTTGGGTCGACCGACCAAAGATGGTTTCTCCACCAGTGGCATGTTCGAATAATAGAACATCACATAAATGAACTGTACGTACTCATAGTACAAAATCGCAATAAAGTGTTGACACTGAAGATTGAGGCTGAAGACACCCATGAATATATATTGCTGGAGCTACATTGCTCTTTGGCATGAACAAAACAGCATGACCAACTGAAGTGCAAAACTAGGCCCTTAGATGAGATAATAAGCTTCTGCATGAACTGCTACGATTGTTAGAAAATTGCACACGGGAAAAGGGTGAAATGCATGTAGGCTTGGGAAGCATCGGGAGTGGATCCGACACGCAACAACGGATGGATGGTGCCGGGGTACACAGTTCTCACGACTCATCGCATTTTCAACATGAAGTGCATCAACCATGACAATTTTCAGATGTTTGTGCAGAGTGTAGGAGTGACTGCTGCTTAAGGCGTTTTGGGGAGATGTCACTTGATTGGCCAGCGTTGCAGGTGCACTATGTGCACCAGTTCGGTATCTGCGATTGGGGAAATGCGAAAGAACGGTACAAGCTGATCGGCTGGAGTAGAAGATGCAGCTGAACGTAGAGAGGAATGGAAGAAGATGTCAAGACTGCTGGAGATCGAGCTGAAGATGTGATCAGGGTTAAATGTTTCGGTTTGCTGATTTGTATTGGGGGTGGTCGAAATATTATGAATTTTTGAATAAAATTTGACCAAATTTGAACAAAATATTACCGAATTCATAAAAAAAATGAAAAAAATAAAAATTTTGGCTGAAATTATATCGTATCGTCCGTAGGGGGGTGGGGGGCACTACTACATGATCTATTTTCCTGGACGCCGCTCCCTTTTCCATACGGTCCGTAAGTGGAACTGCACGGAAAAATAGGAGGACCGGCGCCGGGCCGTCGCCCGCACGGGAAAACGCGTTATCCTGTGCGGGCGGCTTAAGCCAACCGCACACGAAAATAAGCATTTTTTCAGCCGCATGCGAAAATAGCCCATCCCTTTTAATTCATCACGCGCCTGTCGTTCCCTCACCTTCCCCTCCGCCCGCTCCTCTCCTCCCACCTCCCTCTCTCCCACTCGACTCCTCTCCTCCCACTCTCCCATTCTCCTATCGTCATTCGGTCGGCGGTGACAGCAGGCGCGCGCGGCGCCTCCTTCCCTCTCCCTCGACTGCAGGTGGGCAATAGCGGCGGCGGGCGACGGGAGCGGGAGGCAGCAGCGGCGGGCCACCACGGTGGCCCCTCCCCTCCCCCCTTGCATATCCAGCGGAACGGCGGCGTGAGGGAGGAGGCCCGCTTCCCTCAGCGGTGGGATGGAGGTGGCCCGCACCGGATCTGGAGGTGCGGCGCCGGTTGGAGGTGCGGCGGCGTAAGCGGCCGGCGTGGAGGTGGGGCCGCCGGTAGGAGGTGCGACGGCGTCGACGACCGGCGGATCTAACTCTCCCCCTCCTTCTCTCTTTGTTATTTGTGACTGTTTGTGATTTGTGAGAAGCATTCTTGGAGTTCATTCGTTGCTTATGTGGGATGTGTTCTTGGAATTGATGTGAGATCTATTGTGTGTCGATGTGCGACTACGGATCCGGTGCCGGTGACAGGAGCGGGCAGCGGATCCGTAGCCGACGACCGCGGGGGCGATGGCGGCGGGCCTCGTCTAGGCAGCGGCGGCTTAGGGTTAGGGTTTTTTTTATTTTTTTTCTATTTTTTGTTTTTCCGTGCGGGCGCTTAAATCTGATTTTTGCATGCGGGTGCGCCACCCGCACGTGAAAATCGCGATTTTCCCAGACGACTGGGTGCGTGTGGGCTGTCAACTGCACGCAAAAATCGTTTAGCCCGCACGGGAGAATTGGTACCGTAGTAGTGGGGGTTCCGATAGAACTAAAATTTCCGAAATTTCCCTGTAAGAGTTTGATTAGTGCAGTCGTCAAAGCCGCTGTCATTCGTAGCTCTTGTACACTACACGGCTAATTATTACCGTCAGTATCGGTGACGGTACTTCGTCTGAATGTGGCCTTTGCCGACCGATCCATCATTGTGGGAGGTTATGCCATGGTATAGCGGTAGGCTTTGTAGCTTTTGAGTTTTTTTTTTTTTGGACAAATGAGACTTTGTTGTGCTCTGATCGATGCACTCATGGATAATGGATGGCGTCATTCTGAGAGCTTTACCACTAGTCTTGTTCTTTTTTTTTTTTTGACGCCGTTGACTTTTTTAAAAATATTTGACCGTTCGTCTTATTTAAAAAATTTAAGTAATTATTAATTCTTTTCGTATAATTTGATTTATTGTTAAATATACTTTCATATATACATATAGTTTTACACATTTCATAAAAGTTTTTGAATAAGACGAACGGTCAAATATGTTTAAAAAAGTCAACGGTGTCAAATATTTAGGGAATGAGGGAATACTTAAGAAGCTTCTAAGTGACTAGGTGCTTTTCGCAGGATTGGCTTTTCAGTGATGATAAAAATCATCACTGTAACTATATAGTAATTTTCATCACAGTTACTACTCCCTCCGTTTCAGATTATAAGACGTTTTGACTTTGGTCAAAGTCAAACTGTTTTATGTTTAACCAAGTTTATAGAAAAAAGTAGTAATATTTTCAACCCAAGAAATTTATTATGAAAATATATTTAATTATTAATTTGATGGCACTAATTTAGTATTATAAAAATTACTATATTTGTCTACAAACTTAATCAAACTTAAAACAGTTTGATTTTGACCAAAATCAATATATTTTATAACTTGAAATGGAAGGAATACCTTGTGACAATTTTTGAGTTGTCAGGGAAATTGGTGTAACAAATAACCTGGGTCACGCAGTTGAGTATTGAATTTGGTGATGGAAATTATTTTCACCAGAAGTAGCTCGCTGTTTCAACAGCTGTGTGATCGAGAAAAATAAATGAGCCATGTTGAATAATATAACATGACATAAATGAACAGTACTCAAAGTATAATTAAAATTGCAATGAAGTGTTGACATTGAAGATTAAGATTGAAGACACCCATGTATATATATATCTATTGCTGGAGCTAGATGGCTCTTCGGCAAGAACAGAACAGCAGGACCAACTGAAGTGCAAAATTAGCCTGGTCGACCAAGACGGCCGCGCCGCGCGCGCGAGTAGTACGAGCCACCGCCGAGGACGGCCGTGTTCGGGAGCGGCGCCGGCGAGCGCGGGGAATGCGTCACCGTCCGGTGCGACGTCGAAAGTGTCGTGAACAGCCTACGGGCCCAATTAGAAGATGGCCCGCCCGCAAAAATGACGGTGACTAAACAAGGCCCAATACAGCAAAACCATCTGTACAAGTGATGCGATTACGGGCTAATCTTCATCATCATTTACATTGTAACTTGTATGTAACTACAATGTAACTTGCATATAATTTTAAACCGTTTCAAGATTTGTTCAAGTAAAGAAGGAAAAAAGTCACTATGTGCACATATGTGAGAATTCGTTTTCACGACCTCCGTTTCATCGAAATAACATGTTACAGAGAGATTTTTTTGCATGTTACATACAATCACAGACAAATTATATTATACTATAATTATATCTGTCAAATTTTTAAAAGAAAATTTATCGACAAATGTATAGGTGATCCCAAAAATCTATTTGTTTCCACCCACAACACCAGTGATTTTTTCTAAACATAATAACATCCGGTATTTATTCTCGCCTAATCTTTATTAATAACATACACAACAAATTACCTCTAGCACACTTGCCCTAATAAACCATAATATTTTTTACTTCATTTGCTTACTACTAATCTAGTGCTTGTTTTTGTACTGTTTTTGAGTTTATATAGATATTGTTCATCCACTCTCTCATCAGCCCTCACTTCTCTACCTTATCTCATCATTTGATCTTTATAATGCTCTCTTGAGACAAATGCTTGTACAGGCCTATAACGATGTCTTTCTTATCCAGTGACTGGTAATTCAGTATCAATTCCCTACCAAGCTTTTTATGCCATTAGTCAAGCAGGGTCACTATTGGCCGGCAGCATCGCAGAAAGCCTCGCTGTTAGTTCACACCAGGCGCGTGAAATGTGAATAAAGCACAATATTCTCTCAGGCTTAGTGGAGCCTGGGCCCTGCCCTTTCCCACTCCCTCCGTCCCACGATATAAGGGATTTTGAGTTTTCGCTTACAAATATTTCAGTATGTACCCAGAAGATTGTGAGATCGATGTGCAGCAGTTGTTAAGGAGGTGGAGAGCAGAAGGGTTCATCAAGGTAAATTGTGGGAGAAACATAATGGAGGAAGGGGAATTCTATTTAAATGAACTTATCAACAGAAGTTTGATCCAACCAGAAAAAATGTTATTTGACGATCGTATAAGGACTTGTCGTGTGCATGATATTATTCTTGATCTCATTGTATCCAAGGCAATTGAAGAAAACTTTGTTACAGTTTTCAGTGATCCAAATTCGCTAGTGTCCCAAGGAAAAGTTCGTCGACTTTTACTTGACTACCGTGGCCAAGAAAATGTGATGCCAATGTGTTCCATGGTAACTTGTAATGTTAGATCAGTGAGCATATTTGGATACAGGGAACAGATGCTTCCTATTTCTGACTTGAATGTTTTCAGAGTGCTTCATATAGAGAGTGGTAATAAGATGATGGAGATTTGTGGAATTGGGAAGCTACTTCAGTTGCGGTACTTACGGATTGATCTAGTTACACATCTTACTGAAGAAATAGGAGAACTGCTGTTTTTGGAGATATTGGATCTACCTCGTGGTATTGGTACAGAGGAGCTGCCCAAAGGCATAGTTAAACTGCGGCGGTTGAAATTTTTACACGTTCATGATGCAAGACTGCCGGATGGAGTCGGGAATATGCAAGCTCTAGAGGAACTAGCAGTATCAACAAAAGAGGACAATTTGAGCTCAATAAACTCCTTGGAACAGTTGGGAACGCTGACCAAACTTAGGATACTTCACCTAAGTTTGTCCATTACTGACGAGAACAATCATAAATCAAAACACTTGGATACGTTAACTTCATCGCTCAACAAACTCCTTAGTTACAATCTTAGATATTTGTATTTTGATAGTTACTGGCAGTTGGGTTCTGCTTATATCAATTTGGATTTTTCATCCTCGCCGTCTTATCTCCTGCAAGAATTACACATCCGTCCTCTCCTTCTCCATGGGATTCCTGAGAGGCCGGCGTCACTGGCCAACCTGACCTATCTGGACATTAGAATCCAACAAGTGACGCAAGAAACCCTTGAGATCCTAGGAGACTTACCTGCCTTGCTTTCTCTTTTGTTAGTGTCCGCATTTGACAACACAAAAAGGTTTAGCATATACAGAAATAAGTTCAGATGTCTAGAGTCTCTAAACTTGGATTGTTCGGCTAGTGATATGATGTTCCACGCTGGAGCCATGCCAACGCTTGTAGACATCAACTTTACAATCAAGGCACATTCCACAAAGTATGCATGTGCCAATCGAAATCTGGGCATCCACCACCTCTCAACCCTTAAGGCACTCAATGTCTATATTGACTGCCAAGGCGCGACAGCTAAGGAGGTGGAGGCAGTTGTGGCCGCCATCAAGAACGAAGCAAGCCTACTTCCCAACTGCTACATACAACATATCCGCATATCGCGGGAGGAAGGATTGGAGGATATCGACATATCGCGGGAGGAAGGATGGGAGGAAGGGGGCCACTCGATTGAGCAACAAGAAGAGATCACTAATCCCCATACCGAGCACACAATAACCCCTGCCACATAGTTCATCTGCAATTTCATCTATTCAAGGTACGTAACTAGTATAGTATTTGATAACAATCAATGGTTTCCCTGAGGCTCATCTGATCATATGTTATCTTATTATTAGTTATGTATACTTCCGGTTCCTTGTTGGCAGAAGCACATATATATTTGTTCCTTTAATTGGTTTGTGATGTATCAATTGGCCGGCTGGTTCCTTGGGTGGCTACTATAGTGCTGGGGGATGCAAACTTCTTGTACGTTTCGTTGTGTGCTGCCTAGGCTTTTAGTTTCTTTGTTCTGTAACTGAGCAATAATTGGAGCTTGAAAATGTGCCCATGTTTGGTGTCTTTGTGTTTCTGGACGTTTGATATGATATATAAACTAGATATCATTTTCATCAAACGTGCAAATTGATAATGAATGCTCGACTGTTGTATAAGATACAGCTGCTGTGCACTAATGCTATTTGCTTACTTTATATTCAGTCATGAATTGAGACATCATTGATACAGTAGTTACCCTTTGGGTGTTCAACATATTTTCATGGATGATCTGGTTTCACATTTTATAAATTTAATAATTTTGGCCTTGTTGCCAATTGAAAGACCGGTACTATTATTTAAGCATGAAACCACAGATTAAGGTTATATATCTTATTAATTTGTAGTGATAATTTATAGCATTTATGTTTTATCTTAATGATTTCAAAAAAGCAGAGCGCTATATCTGTGCCCATGTTAGGCTTCACTGGGGACCCAGATTTAGTTTCTTACTTTCTATTTTCAATTATATTATTGAGTTTTCCTTGTCTCAAGATATAGGTCTCCATGTTTTTCTGAACGCACATATGATTCCATTTAACGAGCACACACCGCAATACAAGCTTGGAGATCCACATTATGTCGAATCAAAAATTTGGAAGCATTTTTTTTGTCAAATCATGGGAGAGAAGAGTTCCGCACTTGAATTTTCAATTACGAAAGAGTGATCAAGATTACATGACCCTAGAGTCGGAAGGTTACAGTGATTGAAGGGGGAAGGGGGAAAAACGCCTCCTAATTAAACAAAGCCCCTGTTTAGGCCAGCTTAAGATTCTCATGAACAACTGGTCGCTTCTAAAAATCTGAAAAAAAAATGGGTTTCCTACCGTTTTGGTTATAGTTCACGTGATGGGCTGGATATGCATGCCAAATGAATTATTGTTTAGCAAAAAAGAAGCAAGTTGTCTAGCAAAAGAAAGGGCATTGGAGGCACATATGTATGGGTCATAGCTTCATCTTCTGTTTGACGAGGTCACACATATGCTTAGGCAGGTCCTAGACGACTGCCACCAAACCTAAAGAGAGCAGCCGTGGCAAGGAACGAGGTCTAGCCAACCAGCAGGGGAAAGAACTTGGTGCTAGACCTGGCGAGCGAACACGTAGTCAAGGAGGATGTGGTTCGTCATTTTCAGATCCTGGGCGCAAAAGGAACAAGCCGAGTGGTTGTCGATACCACGCTTTGATCTAGTAATACTCCCTCGTCTTTGTTTTCTCCACATACTCGTTTTCTCTACGGTTAATAAAAGAACACAGTACGTAGTATAGTAATATTTTAAAATCTTGCTTAACATATTTATTACTAGCTAAAACAGCTGTCTTTCGAGAGTGTACACAAAGAATCGACGGCAGGGCAACGGCTGCTTCCTGCAGCAGGTAAACAGGCACAACCGGACAGTGCACGTAGGAGAACTGTTGTTTTTGGAGACATTGGATCTACCTCATGGTATTGGTACAAAGGAACTGCCCAAAAGTATAGTTAAACTGTGGCGGTTGAAATTTTTATGTGTTGGTTATCCTTGGAGACTTGCCTGCCTTGCTTTCTCTTATGTTAAGGTTGTACGCACATGACACCACTGAAAGGTTTAGCATAAACAGAAATAAGTTCAGATGTCTGAAGTGTCTAGACTTGTATTTTTCTGCCACTGATATGATGTTCCACGCTGGAGCCATGCTAAAGCTTGAATACATCTCGTTTAGAATCAAGCCACATTCCACAGAGTATGCATGTGCCAATCGAAATCTGGGCATCCACCACCTCTCAACCCTTAAGGAACTCAGTGTTTATATATTCACTGCCAAGGCGCGAGGGTTGAGGAGGTAGAGGCAGTTGAGGCCGCCATCAAGAACGAAGCAAGCCTACTTCCCAACTGCTCCTCACAACATATGGTCAGATTGGCTGGGAAAATGATGGTGACAGAAGGACATGAGGAACGGGGCTACTCCATGGAGCAACAAGAAGAGATCACCAGTCCCCCCATACCGAGCACAAAATAACCCCTGCTATTTAGTTCATCATCTGCAATTTCATCTATTCAAGGTATATAACTATAGTACTTGATAATAATCAATGGCTTCCCAGAGGCTCATCGAATCATATGTTATCTTATTAACTAGGTACGTATACTTCTGGTTCCTTGGTAGAAGCAAATATTTTGTTCCTTTAATTGATTTGTGATGTATCAATGGGCCGGCTGGTTCCTTGGGTGGCCACTAGCCCACTGTCACTACCAAATTCGAGGGCTAGCCTGTATGCCGAAAACCATCAGGAAAATAGATTTTACCTTCTATGGGTGGACCGTCAGGTTTTACCGTCTAGTAGTGTACAGTACTGGGGGATACAAACTTGATGTTTCATTGTGTGCTGCCTTGGCTTTTAATTTGTTTGTTCTGTAACTGAGCAATAGTTGGAGCTTGAAAATGTGCCCATGTTTGGTATCTTTGTGTAAAAGTCTCCCGCCGTTTGATATGATATATAAACTAGATATAATTTTCATCAAACTTGCAAACCGATAATGTATATGCTTGACATTTGTGTAAGATACAGCGGCTGCACTATTGCTATTTGCTTACTTTACATTCAGTTATGAATTGAGACAGCATTAATGCAGTAGTTACCCTTCGGGTGTTCACCATCTACCTGAAATTTTCTCCTAGATTTTTCATGTATGGTCTGGTTTCACATTTTATTTATTTAATAATTTTGAGCTTGCTTCCAATTGAAAGCCGGTACTATTCTTTAAGCATGAAACCTCAGATTAAGGTTATATATTTTATTCATTTGTAGTGATAATTTATAGCATTTCTGTTTTATCTTAATGGCTTCAAAAAAGCAGAGCACTATATCTGTGCCCATGCTATAACTGTTTTCTTAGGCTTCACTGGGGACCTAGATTTATTTTATTACTTTGTATTTTGAGTTCTATTATTGCATTTTCCGTGTCTCAAGATATAGGTCTCCGTGTTTTCTGACCGCATATGTGATTCCATTTAACGAGCACACATCGCAATACTAGCTTGGAGATCCACATTATGTCGAATCAAAAAGTTTGGAAGCAATTTTTTTGTTGGACAAATCATCAGAGAGAAGAGTTTCACACCTGAATTTTCAATTACAAAAGATAGATCAAGATTACAGGACAGGTAACATGTTAGATTAATGGGCTAGGCCCAATTAAATCCTAATAAATTCCATTGGCCAACATTAAGTGCTATGGGTAATAATACCACCTTGAAAATCTAAGTGAAGAGGTCTCAACTTAAATACAGAGCAAGTGGAGAGTCTCTGTTGACCGGTTGAGATGGTGCGCGGATAACTAGACGGGGCGAGGCGAGGCAGACAGCTGCGCTCTCTCGTTTTGTAACGGACGGTAATAAACACAAACGTCGTGAATTGATTCCGTCGGTTACGGAATTAAACGCCGTGAATTGATTCCGTATTAACGAGCGCGTCGGTTTCGAAATTAAACACCGCGGTTAATGACTCCGAACGTTACTCTCGCGCTCGCATATATATACTCCGCAGCGACCAGAAGGACGGATGGAGTTCTTCCCGACCTCTCTTGCACTTCGAGTTCCTCCTCCACGTCGTGAATTGATTCCGTCGGTTACGGAATTAAACGCCGTGAATTGATTCCGTATTAACGAGCGCGTCGGTTTCGAAATTAAACACCGCGGTTAATGACTCCGAACGTTACTCTCGCGCTCGCATATATATACTCCGCAGCGACCAGAAGGACGGATGGAGTTCTTCCCGACCTCTCTTGCACTTCGAGTTCCTCCTCCTCTGTTCCTGAGCTACAGAATCCTTCCCCGGTTCTGTTCACCTGCGCGCACATGTGTACGGGACGAGCAGGTTCTGTTCACTTGCGCGCACAGGTGTACGGGACGAGCAGGTGCCTCCAAAACTTCATCCGCTTAAGAACCTGCACGGGTAGGTGGGCGATCAAGTTTTTGGGTAGCACTTCAAGCACGAGTGCTCTTGTTCTTCACGGCTACTGCTGCTGCATCGACGCCTTCACCAAGATGTCGATGGAGATTGGAGACAAAATGATGAACGACATCAACGGAGGCAATACTGCCTCAAAATCCAGCGGTGGGACGTTCTCGGGGTATACTTTCATTCTCCTGATTCTATTAAATGTTTCTTTGTTAATACTCTTCGCAATGGCAGCATTGCGTTACTATGTAAATGTTGATGCTTATTTCATATTAAGCATACTCAAGTTGTATACATCTAGCACTGTCACTAGATCTACTCATATTGCAAATGTCATGTTTATGGTCTTAATATTTTGGATTAAAATATGCCGAATTATGACCAAATTTCTAACATAACATATGACCTAGAGTCGGAGGGGATTGAAAGGGGAATTGAAGGGGGAAATTAAAAATGTTTCCAAATTAATCAAATCCTCAGTTTAGGCGAGTTTAAGATTCAAATAAACAATGTTGCTTCCAAAATTCTGAAAACATGGGTTTCCTACCTTTTTGGTTCTAGTTCACTCGATGGGCTGGATATGCACGCCAAGTGAATTATTGTTTAGCAAAACAGAAGCAAGTTGTCTAGCAAAAGAAAGGGCATTGGAGGCACATATGTAGAGGGCAGCTTCATCTTCTCTTTCACGAGGTCACACATAGGAGACGACATTATTATTTTCTTATCAATATTTTTTTTGGTTGATGACCTCACTTTCGCTATGAGCCACGTAAAGAACTGAACTTTTGGCGACGCTCTGTTTAATTTTCCAGACAAAGTCCTATGTTTGGGGTGTCGGCCTGGACACATATATTTGCAGATTTTCTTTGGGAGATGAGCTCCCATTTACGCTGCTGAAACCTGCTTCATTAGAGCAAGTTTTATAGTAGAGGTGATTGCCACCTCTAATATTATTCACATAATCAACTAGTTAATTAGAAGGCAACATATACTTATATATTGCCTCCAATATATACTAGTCCAATACAACATAACTATTTGTTTTATTCATTTTCATCCAATTTACATCACTATTTTCTCTTTCTTTTTTAAAGTTTGTAAAGAGGTTGTCCCTTGCATGCGGGGTGGCTCATTTTTTCTCTTTTTTCTTCTCTCCTCCACCTCACCATTTATGCATATGTGGCATCTAGGGGCTTGTGTTTTAGATGCTTATAGTACTTGCTCTCAATCATTCTACCCGTTGTACGACTAGTATTCTTTGGCCAACTATGTCTTCTAGCAGCATGAGCTACTTCCTCCGTTTCACAATGTAAGTCATTCTAGCATTTCCCATATTCATATTGATGCTAATGAATCTAATGTCTCTAGATTCATTAGCATCAATATGAATATAGGAAATGCTAGAATGACTTACATTGTGAAACGGATGTAGTAGCAGCTAATGGGCAGCCGTTGATAGCCATAGAACCAGACTCGTCCTGATCCTCATGGGATGGCAATGGGGCCCCGAACCCCAATACCCGATGGGTAAAACATCCATTAGGGTTTCTTAATAGGCTAACATCTCTACCCATGGGGGTCTTAACGGGAAAAATATTCCCCCATCAGGTGAGCTGGGTTCGGGGGCGTTCCCAAGCTCCCCGTACCCGAATCCCCACGGGGGCCCTGTATAGCACATCCTACATTCCTACTACCTCATGGCCCATAGAAAATAAAAGCCCAGCTGCTATAGGCCCATCACTCGTTCACATATATACACGCCAAAACCCTAGGTCCCAAGCGCACGGAGAAGAATCCTCGCCGCTTCGCTCCCATCCACATCCATGCCCTACCTCGCCGCCTAAAGTCCAAGCCGAATGGCCGACACGGCGACACCAGATCGACGGCCGACGCCTCCACGAGACCACGACAAGGGATCCAGGCCGCAGTCGTCGCCGCATGCTTCCAGGAGTCAAGGGAACCAGGTCCGCATGTTCGAGGCAAGGTTCCACTGTGAAACTTCCATACGGCCGAGAAGACGAGACATCTAACATCTTGGCTCCATGTCCAGGACGAAATCCAAGTGCCGAGTGCCGACGCATCACCAACCAACCAGCTAGATGATTTGTACCTGTGAATGAGTGAGTTAGTTACCTACATGACGTTCCTGCCTTTCTGTTTGAAATGAACTGAAACAACTTGCTGTTCTTTAACAGCACGGAAGCTTGACGTTGTTTTCAGGCACTGAAGTTGAAATCTGTTTGTTGTTCCTATTCTTTGGGTCAATTTTGTGTTTCATCAGCCGATTTGATGATGGTCTCACTGCTATTGTGTTGCTCGCTTGTTTCCTGAGTTGGGGTTAATTGGGGATTGTTGCTGCTGCAATTTGTATTCCGGTGATGTTGTCGGGTGTGAGGACCCGCGGGTGCCCCGTACCCGCAGTGGGGACGGGGACGGGGGAGAACCTGCACCCAAGTGCGGGGATGGGGAGGGTGACGGGCGATTCCCTTCAATGCGGGTGCGGGACGGGGTGGTGAAACCCGGCGGGTGCAGCCCCGTTGCCATCTCATGTCTCCCTGCAAAGCTTGTTTCGCAGTCAGGAGGCGGCGGCGGCACAGCTGGTGCCTATGCGTGCGACGGTGTGTGTGTAACCTAGCTAGGGTCAGCCCATAATGCTCCATTGGGTCGACCCATGATGGCCCATGAAATTTCATGGGTAAGCCAATGAGGTTGTGACCCCATGTTTCGTGGGCTAGGTCGTTGGGTACATGGGTTTACCCGGCCCACGTGCATCCCTAGGTTCGATCTAGCTCCAAAAGTCAACGGTGTCAAACAAGGATAAACAGAGAAGATATATTATTAGGAATAAACGATTATTGTAAAAGTTGTAAGTAATTACATTATGGATATATGAAAAATATCACAAAACAGCACGTTTCAAAGGGTTATTAATTCGAGCCTGATTTTGAGTCAAATTAAGTGGAATTGTATTAAGAGTTGGATTTCATCACGAATAATGCATGCTTTCTGTGTTTGTAATTTACCGTGTCGATCTTTTGCAAAGTTGCAACGAAGATCAACAACGCCCCGCCGCATCTCCTGCTCCGGCGCCGGCCGGCCGCCGTCTCCCGACCCGTCTAGTGCACACTGCCAGCCATGTCGTTGGCGGCGGCAGCGGGTCGCATCGTGCGCACCGCCTCCGCCATTGTCTCCAGGCCGTCGACGACCTCCCACGTGCTCAGGGTCGACGGCTACTCGCACCTCGTCGGCGTGCTCCAGCCCGGCGAGCACGTCGACTCGTGCGTCTTCGACGCCGGCGGCCACTCCTGGCGTCTCCAGCTCTACCCCAATGGCAGCAACGACCAAACACACAGGAGCCACATCGGCGTCTTCCTCCAGCTCGCCGCCGCCGCCGGCCACCCTAGCGACGGCGACGGCCGCGTGCGTGCCCGGCCAAGGTTCAGCCTGGTTGACAGCGCCGGCGACAAGCCGGCGGCGGCGCCACCATCTCACGACGCTGGATTTCACAGCTTCGGCCATGGCGACGGCTGGGGCTTTCAGAGCATCATCAGCAGGGAAGAATTGGAGCGATCGGAATATCTCCGAGATGATTGTTTTGCAATCCAATGCGACGTCGATGTCACAACCGTTCGGAAGTGCCATGATCACCCGGTGTTTATCTCCCAAAATTTTTCTGAAAATCGTGTATCCGATGCAACATAGTAGTATAATGCTTTTGCTGTAACTATATACTCCTCTCCGTATTTTAATGTTTGACGCTGTTCACTTTTTTACGAATGTTTGACCATTCGTTTTATTTATTTTTTTTACAAATATATATAAAAATATTTATGTCATGCTTAAAAGAGCATTTCACGATAAAATAAATGATAATTACATAAATTTTTTAAATAAGACGAATGGTCAAACGTTGGACAAAAAGTCAACGGCGTCATACATTGAAATATGGAGGTAGCAGCGTTTTATCCATGCATTGCAATGGAATTTTAATTAAAAAAATATCATTAATATGTTGTTGGCATGTGCATATTTGTTATTAATCATTTGTGGAACTTTTTGGACTGATATTAATATATTTTCATAAAAAAATAGAGTTAGTGGGAGTAGTTGATATGTGGGTCCTTTAGTCTCATATGTCTTTTTTTTTGTTTAACAAAAAGTTGGGAGTTGACAGTTGGGGTGGTGGCAGATCCGTCACCACTCTACTCCATTTTATAAAGAGTAGATAGATACTATACAGTCACTGCGTCATAATGAAATTAACTACTTAGGATTATATATATAATATGGTGCACTTGTATTATTTGGATATTATGAATTGATGTTACCTCACGTGCTAGCTATCACGTCAGCACTCGATTCATCCGATCATGAAAATTGCTTCACATTAAATGACAAAAGGGAATCATACAATGAAATCATGAAGAAAAAATAAACTTGATATAATAAAGGAAACCCATCTTTTGTTGTTGAATGACAACTGTGTTCGTCGAAAAAACGTGGTTCACTCTTATAGTGGAAATGTAAAACAATATGTATTAATGATGGAATTTTTTATCCCCTATTACATGCCTTAATTAGGGGACTATTTATAGTCTTAGTACAAGCTCATGCACGCTACGGTTAACAGGTAAGAGAAATTTACATGGATACCCTTATGATTGGAGCATTTATGAGGGCAAAAAAGGTTCTATTTTGCCTAGGTTGATGTTTCACTTTTTTTTCAGTTTGTGAAAAAAAAGTGAAACATGGTGACATCGCTAGATGAAACAATTTGGTTCAACGTATGCTACGAAGACGATTTAAGCTATAGAAACACTTAAACCTCGTGTACATCGAAACAAGCCACCTTTGAACCATTGAAACATCAACAAACCCCGTGTGTCGAAAATAGAAATATGGAACACTATCGAAATATCCACTGCAACATTTAATCAAACATTTTCTATAAATTTAATCAAACAACTAGTAATGACTTATTATATGGAACGGAGAGAGCAATGTTAATATGTGTCCCAACCCACCTGCACGCACTGTCCTTACCTCTGTTCGATTGAGATCAAACGATTTTGTTCATGACTTATTTGAGAAGGCACTCAATTAGCGTAAAACTAATAAGTATTAACTATTACAAACTTGAAAAAAATAATTTGTTTGAATTTTTGAAGAACTTTCATATATGAAGCTATCTTTAAAATTCAGACCATTTAATCAACATTTAAAAATTGTGTCCATGATAATTAGAAGCCAGTGGTTGAAACGCACAGTGGAAGGTGTGAGAAGGGTAAAAGTTATATTTTTTAGATTATGGATGCACATCTTTACAGTTTGGAAATCCCTATGCTCTCCTCTCCTCGAAATCGGCAATACAAATCAAATCACAAACTTCCTCTGCCTCCGGCCTCTCAGGGACCTCACCGCATGTGCTACTAGGATACATATATAGACATACAGACACAGTAGTCTAGCTAAGATAATCTAAAATATAATCAACAATTGGGAAAAGGCATGGAAATTAACCGTCGGAGATGATGGAGGGAATTAATGTGGGAATTTCATTTTGCTATACAGAAATAAGAGAGTGTTTAATTAGGAGGGAGTTCATATCCTTTGTTTGGTGCGTGGGAATTTGATGTTGGAAGGGTATATTATTAGGAATAAACAATTATTGTAAAAGTGGTAAGTAATAATTATTTTAGACAATAATAATAATATGAATATATGAAAGATATCACAAAACAGCACGTTTCAAAGGTTTATTAATTCGAGCATGATTTTGAGTCAAATTAAGTGGAATTGTATTAAGAGTTGGATTTCATCACGCATAATACTTTCTCTGTTTGTAAGCTACCGTATCTCCTATCTTTTGCATAGTTGCAACAAAGATCAACGCCCCGCCGCATCTCCTGCTCCGGCGCCGGCCGCCGTATCTCGATCCGTCCAGTCCACACTGCCAGCCATGTCGTTGGCAGCGGCGGCGGGTCGCATCGTGCGCACCGCCTCCGCCATCGTCTCCAGGCCGTCGACGACCTCCCACGTGCTCAGGGTCGACGGCTACTCGCACCTCGTCGGCGTGCTCCAGCCCGGCGAGCACGTCGACTCGTGCGTCTTCGACGCCGGCGGCCACTCCTGGCGTCTCCAGCTCTACCCCAATGGCAGCAACGACCAAACACACAGGAGCCACATCGGCGTCTTCCTCCAGCTCGCCGCCGCCGGCGGCCACCCTAGCGACGGCGACGGCCGCGTGCGTGCCCGGCCACGGTTCAGCCTGGTTGATGTCGCCGGCAAGCCAGCGCCGTCGCGGGACGCCGGAGTTCATGGCTTCTACCATGGTCATTACTGGGGATTCAAGGACTTCATCGCCAGGGAGGAATTGGAGCGATCGGAGTATCTTCGAGATGATTGTTTTGCAATCCAATGCGACGTCGATGTCACAACCGTTCGGAAGTGCCATGATCACCCGGTGTTTATCTCCCAAAATATTTCTGAAAATCGTGTATCCGATACAACATAGTATATCTAATGCTTTTGCTGTAACTATATAGCATTTTATCCATGCATTGCAATGGAATCTTTATTAAAAAAATATCATTAATATGTTGTTAGCAACTTAAGCATGTGCATATTTGTTATTAATCATTTGTGGAACTTTTCGGACTCATATTAATATATTTTCATAAAAAAATAGAATTACTGGGAGTAGTTGATATGTGGGTGCTTTAGTCTCATATGTCTTTTTTTTTCTTCAACAAAAAGTTGGGAGTTGACAGTTGGAATGGTGATGGATCCGCCACCACTCTACACCATTTTATAAAGAGTAGATAGATACTATATGGTCACTGCGTCGTAATGAAATTAGCTACTTAGGATTATGTATATAACATGGTGCACTTATATAGTATTATTTGGATATTATTATGGATTGATGTTACCTCACGTGCTAGCTATCACGTCAGCACTCGGTTTATCCGATCATGAAAATTGCTTCACATTAAATGACAAAAGGGAAATCATACAATCAAATCATGAAAAAAAAATAAACGTGATATAATAAAAGAAATCCATTTTGTTGTTGAATGACAACTGCGTTCGTCGAAGAACGTGGTTCACTCTTATAGTGGAAAAGTAAAACAATATGTATTAATGATGGAATTTTTTTGGATCCCCCGTTACATGCCTTAATTAGGGGATTATTTATAGTCTTAGTACAAGCTCATGCATACTAGGGTTAATAGGTAAGAGGAATTTACAAGGATACCTTTATGATAGGGGCATTTATGAGGGCAAAAAAGGATCTATTTTGCCTAGAACTCCTTAATGGGCCTTAACCTAGGCCATACTTAGCGAACATGCCCTTTTAGGTGAAGGCCTCCCGGCTTGGTGGCGAATCTCCTAGGCTTCGCCTTATGGTTTCATCCCAGGTGTGCATCTTGCTCGTCGATCGGCGCTTCGCTATAGCGGTTTTGGCAGTCTCGGTCGAAAGTCCTCATAACATGCCTCTAATAGGGAAGCGCCTACAAATCGGGCGCCCGATTTTTCCCAAAAACTTGGGCGTTGTTTCACCCTTTTCGCCCGATTTTTCCCCAAAAACTCGGGCGTTGTTTCACCTTTTATGAAAACAATGTTTTACCACTTAGCGAATGAATATTTCAGTTTATAAAAAAAATGTGAAACACGGTGAGATCGCTAGATGAAACAATTTGGTTCAACATATACTACAAAATGATTTAAGCCATTGAAACACTTAAACCTTGTGTACATCAAAACAAGCCACCTGTACATCAAGATGAAAAATATTAAACACTATCTAAAATCCACTGTAAAAAATGATCCACACACAAAGAAATATCACGAGTACACTAGCGGAAACATTGCTTTTGAACCATTGAAACATCAACAAACCCCGTGTGTCGAAAATAGAAATATGGAACACTATCGAAATATCCACTGCAACATTTAATCAAACATTTTCTATAAATTCAATCAAACATAAATAAGTTTGACTAGTAATGACTTATTATATGGAACGGAGAGAGCAATATTGATATGTGTCCCAACCCACCTGCACGCACCGTCCTTACCTCTGTTCGATTGAGATGATCAAGCGATTTTGTTCATGGCTTATTTGAGAAGACACTCAATTAGCGTAAAACTAATAAGTATTAACTATTACAAACTTGAAAAAATTGATTTGTTTGAATTTTTGAAGAACTTTCATATATGAAGCTATCTTTAAAATTCACACCATTTAATCAACATTTAAAAATTGTGTCCATGATAATTAGAAGCCAGTGGTTGAAATGGACAGTGTAAGGTGTGGGTAAAAGTTTATTTTTTAGATTATGGATGCACATCTTTACAGTTTGGAAATCCCTATGCTCTCCTCTCCTCGAAATCGGCAATACAAATCAATCAAATCACAAACTTCCTCTGCCTCCGGCCTCTCAGGGACCTCACCGCATGTGCTAATAGAATACATATATAGACATACAGACACAGTAGTCTAGCTAAGATAATGTAAAATCAACAATTGGGAAAAGGCATGTAAATTAACCGTCGGAGATGATGAAGGGAATTAATGTGGGAATTTGAATTTGCTATACAGAAATAAGAGAGTGTTTAATTAGGAGGGAATTCATATCCTTTGTTTGGTGGAAACTTGATGTTGGAAGGGTATATTATTAGGAATAAACAATTATTATTGTAAAAGTTGTAAGTAATATTTATTTTAGACAATAACAATAATATGAATATATGAAAGATATCACAAAACATCACGTTTCAAAGGTTTATTCGAGCCTGATTTTGAGTGAAATTAAGTGGAATTGTATTAAGAGTTGGATTTCAATCACGTATTATACCTTCTTTCTTTGTAAGCTACCGTGTCGATCTTTTGCAAAGTTGCAACAAAGATCAACAACAACGTCCCGCCGCATCTCCTGCTCCGGCGCCGGCCGCCGTCTCTCGATCCGTCCAGTCCACACTGCCAGCCATGTCATTGGCGGCGGCGGGCCGTATCGTGCGCACCGCCTCCGCCATCGTCTCCAGGCCGTCGACGACCTCCCACGTGCTCAGGGTCGACGGCTACTCGCACCTCGTCGGCGTGCTCCGGAACGGCGAGCACGTCGACTCGTGCGTCTTCGACGCCGGCGGCCACTCGTGGCGTCCCCAGCTGTACCCCAACGGCAAGAACAAGAAGCACAGGGACCACATCGGCGTCTTCCTCCAGCTCGCCGCCGCCGGCGGCCACCCTAGCGACAGCGACGGCCACGGTTCAGCCTGGTTGATGTCGCCGGCAAGGCGGCGCCGTCGCGGGACGCCGGAGTTCATGGGTTCTACCATGGCCATGACTGGGGATTGAAGGACTTCATCGCCAGGGAGGAATTGGAGCGATCGGAATATCTTCGAGACGATTGTTTCGCAGTCCAATGCGAGGTCGATGTGACAGCCGTTCGGAAGTGCCATGATCACCCGGTGTTCATCTCTCAAAATATTTCTGAAAATCGTGTATCCGATGCAACATAGTATATTTCTGAAAATATTTGTGGAGTGATTTACCACTTATTCATTAATCTATATCTTGTTAAACTTTTTAAAATTCTTTTATAACTATTTGGATGACATGAAAATGACGAGAGAATGTTCCCTTTAAAATCCACTACCTATAGGATATTTTTTATCACGTCAGCACTCGCTTCATCCGATCATGAAAATTGCTTCACATTAAATAAATAAGAAAAGATAATCATGCACTGAAATCATGTAAAAAAATTTAACGAAAACGACCTGACTCGGGCACCTGATAGGGAAGGAGAATATCGGGCACCCACGTCCGTGTCCCACACGTCCATATCCATTACCTCATCCTGTCTCTCTCTCTCTCTCCCTCTTCTTCTCTCTCCGCACCTATTCCCCCTTTCTCGTTGCTGCTGCGCACCTACGCCTAGGTGGCGGCGGAGAACGGCATCGTTGCTCTCGGCGGTGGAGGCTGAGCCTCGGCGGAGGCGGAGGCGGCGAAGCAATGGGCCGGTGTTCTCGGTCGCGCCGTGCAGCGCTGGAAACGGCGGACCGAGCTCCATGCAGCGTCGATGACGAGGGGCCATGCCCCATGTGGCGTCGACAATGAGGGCTGAGCTCCACGTGGCGTCAATGATGGCGGACACGCGGACACGGCCGAGCTGCGGCGTCAACGCCGGCAGCTACGCGGATGCAGTGGAGCTCGGCACGGCGTCGACGCAGATGTGGTTGCAAACCGGCCAGTCGAGTAGAGGAAGAGGTAGATCTGGGTTTTCCTCTTAAATATTTTGATGTTTCAGTCCATGTACCATGATGTTTCATCAGTTAGATTGAAATATTGCAGTGGGTTTTCGATGGTGTTTCATTGTTTTTTTTATGTATTCGAATTTGTTTCATGCTTTAATACATTCAAAACGTTGTTTCATACGTTGTAGCAAATTGTTTCATGGTGTGATTTGATTGTGTTTCACCATTGTCAGCACTGAAACATTTTATGTAAAGTGTTTCAATTTTTGTCTTTGACTCTTGTTGTTGATGTTACAATAATTGAACCTTGATGTTTTATGTGTCAGAACAAATTGTTTTAGTCCACGATCCAACCGTGTTTCAACATTTTAATTGTTCAGTATCAAAACTGCGCCTGGTTTTACAACAATAATCGAGCGCCCAATTTATAGGTGCCTCCAAAAATTGATAAGCAAAGCATATACTCCCTTCGTTTTATAATTCATATTATAAGTCACTTTGATTTTTTTTCTTAGTCAACGTTTTTAATTTTGATCAAATTTATAAAAAATATATCAATATTTTCAACGCAGAACAAACATATTATCAAAATATATGTCATTTCCTTAAAAAAATAACAAGACAAAAAAATATATCTAAAGCACCATAATAGAAAAAATATCTACATTCAATTAACCAACTCAATACTGAATATACATTTGAAGTAAAGAAGGCTGAAACTAATCGGTTATATATGAAAAATAATTTGTTTCTGATTTCAAGAATTAAAACTAAATTTGTTTTCGGAAAGTTCCTAAATATGTTTGCGGAAAGTTTTCAACAATTTTCGACGGACGTAGATCCCCTGGAGTTGCCTTCCAACTCCACTTGGTGGATTTGGACCGATCTGACCCCTTACTTTGTTTCTACAGGCTAGATGTGACCATGTCACCTCTTCCTAGTTACACATTTACGACAGAAATAACAATTCTATTCTCCATTTATTTTATCTTGCGAAGTCTGTCCATTCGGATATAGCGTGTCGGAAGAGCATCGTGGATAGGAAATTATCTGTAAACATTTCTTAACCGAGCTGTTATAAAATTAACGGCATTGAGGCCCTCGTTAAACTAATTCATGCCTAAGCTTTTGTCGGTGCAATGTTCGTGTCTTGTTTGTTCTTCTCTAATTGCTATTAGAAAATTCGAAGATAACATGTTCTCTGAGAGATAATGTTTTTGAGATAATTTTTTTTATAAGCTGTACAATATTTTTTTAAAAAGAAAATAGGCTCTACAAGATAACTATGGTGGAAGATGAGATGGGGAAACTATTTTGATCTCTCGAGAAGATGTCCTCTTGTTCTTTGCATGTCATTTAAATGATTGTGAAAAAATTTGAAACAATTTGAGAAAATGTATTAACATGTGATATATCACTTCACAAACATGCAAGTTCAAATTCAACTTCTACATCTCGCAACGAAAAAAAATTAACTGTGAATATACGTTAACTAACTGTAGTTTGATTTGTTTTTCTCGTTGCGAGATGTAGAAGTTAAATTTGAACTTACATGTTTGTGGAGTGATATATCACATGTTAATGTATCTTTTCAAATTGTTTTAAATTTTTTCATAACTATTTGAGTGATATGCAAAGAACGAGGGGACATCCCCTCGAGAGATTAAAATCCACTCCCAGAAGAGATGGCTTATCGAAGCCATCGAAATTATTGGGACGGCTTGGATTTAGTGAAATCCACCCAGTGGATTTGGACGGAACTCCAGGGATCCATACCCATTTTCGACAGATAGTAGCCTTATCATATTCATGCAGATAGTAGCCTTACCATATTCATTTACATTTCCAAGAAAAAGTTTTCGAATTTCAAAACTCTCCAAAAAAATTTGAACCGAACAATTTCTGTTCCACAAAACACATCCGGAAACCCGGAAACTTGTTACGCAACAGGCCTATGCATCCGGAGACCATTACGCTACAACGACATAATAATTGACCCCATCTTCTCCTCTTTCCGCTGAAATTCAACCAAAAAAACAAGAGGCTTTTTACCATCCTTGAGGGCAAGCGGTACCAAATTCTATCCGTCGATCTAGCAGGATCTAACGGCTGCAATTGGTCGGTACCTCACGGTACCGCGTCCCCGCGAGAGGCGGCACCAATTGTGATGAGGTGGTGGGAGGGTAGAATTGTACTTTCGCATCAACTTTTCTCCCCGATCCGCCACCCTTCGTCCTCCGTCCATCGTATCCTCTTCCTTCTCCCTCCGACCAGCGACCACTGCTCCCTCCAGCTTGCCGATGGCGTCGACCATCGCGTCCTCTGCTCCCACTCGCGCGTTGACATCCCCGGTCGCCGCCTCGACTACTTTCGCTCGCGAGTTGCCACCGACTGCCACCTCCGCCCGCACTCGAGCGCGGACACCGACGGCCGCCGATTCCTCCGCTCCCGTTTGAGCGCCGACACTTGCAGCCGCAATATTCTGTGCAATATTTCTCCCCCTTCCCCCAGAGCATCCACTCTGCCCATCCCCTCAGCCAGATCCGGTCGCTGCCGAGGTTGGGGCGCTAGATTTGGCAATGGTGGCAGGCTGGCAGCAGGAGGCCTCCCCGAGATTGCGAGGGGCCTGGCGATGACCACTATGAGTGCAACGGATGCAGCGATCGTGTGGTTGGGCGATTGTGAGGGAGACATCTCGGGTCGCAGAGGTCAGCGAACATCGTGCGTAGGATCTTTTGTTTATTTTGCACTCAAGGCGTTCGACGGAATGCCCATGACACAATTACTGATTGTCTTAGTGTATAATTAAACATTAGCTACGTATGAACATATCTATGATGTTGGTAAGGTGGTCTCATCGTTTCTTGGCATTGTCAGAAACGACATGTTGGCCTCTCAAATTCTAGATTAGTTTCTGTTCTCTCAATAAAAATGTCTCAGCTATGTTTAGGCATGAGAAGTTTTATTTCTGACTTGTGCAGTTATTTTCTCTCTGTTCAGCAGAAAAGGAAAGGCATGTAGACAATCCATTGTGGCACAGGCGCACAGCTGATCCTAGATGATCAGAATTGAAGAATATTTGCACGTGGCCAGTACCTTTCTTTTGTATGCTTATCTGAGGCTTAGGCCTGTCAGTATGTAACATTATGTAATTTGAAACTATGTAATCTCAGGCTACATAATTGATCTGTACTTGTCGTGTTGTTTAGTCTTGGAGTTAGTTGTGTTATTTTGTGTCTGGATGTGATTATGAGTTTATGACTGTTTGCTTATAAACTACCTGCCGTGAATGTTCGTAAGTACTGGCGAGGTTCTGTGAATTTTTTTAATTAAATTTTGACAGCTTTTAACCGATCATATTTGGACCAACGCTAATCAACATAAGCGTTGATCGATGATCTTTCTTACCTAAGAAACACCGATATGAACTGATTATCTCCTTCTATGCAGTATTAGATTCCTATGCAGCATGGGCTGCTTGAGTGCATTTATTTTATCTCCGGCGAGCTCCCAGTTTCCCACTGCATGCCTTTCCATTCCTCGGCTACAATCAATCTCCGGTGAGCTCCCACTGCACGTTTCTCCTCCCGCCCCCTTGACGAAGCACTCCAACACACTCTGCTAATTTCTCTCCATCAGGACCTCCCAAAAGCTCTACAGCCGCTTGGAAATTGACAAATTGTGACCATGCCGAGGCGGCGGACCACATCGACGGAGAAATTTCAGGGTGGAGCGACGCCAAGAGATAAGATGGCGGAACAGGGGAAAGATATCGTCTGGACTTGGCAATCGCTACTTGCGGGCTTATTACGGCGGCAATGTTTTACCCATTCCAATCTTACCCCTTGCAAATGGACGGACAGATGTGATTGGTAACTCCTAGTACCTCGTACCTCGAGCCGGTGGCGTCGCGCACGTACGGTGGCAACGTGCACAGGTTCCCGAGCCCCAGGGGTTCTTCCTCGTGGGGATTCCACAAGTTCATCCGCCACGACGAGCTCGAGAGGTCGGGCCACCTCACCGGCGACCGCTTCGCCGTCCGCTGCGACGTCACCGTCATGAGGGCCACGGAGCTCCGCGTCGAGCCGGCGTGCCTCGCCGTGCCGGAGCCGGACCTGCGCGCCCACCTCCGCCGCCTCCTCTCCACCGGCGACGGCGCGGACGTCACGTTCAGGGTCGGCGGCGGCGAGACGTTCGCCGCGCATAGGTGCGTGCTCGCTGCCCGGTCGCCGGTGTTCAAGGCCGAGCTCTGTGGTCGTGGCGGCGCGGCCGCCGGTAGATGCGTCGACGTCGACGACATGGGCGCCGGGGAGTTCGGGGCTCTGCTTCACTTCGTGTACACGGACACGTTGCTGGAGATGGCCTCGCGCGACGTGCCAGCCATGGCGCGGCGGTTGATCGCGGCGGCCGGCAAATACCAAGTGGAGAGGCTGAAGCTGGTATGCGAGGACATGTTGCGCAGGCGCGTCGACACGAGCATGGCCATGGCGACGACGACGGATTCGGCAGCTACCACCGACGATCAGCTTAGCCAGCGTCCATGGCTGACGCAGCTTTTCTTCAAGTTTGCATCACGCATGGTCGGTGGCATGGTCGTCGACGCGTTCACACCTGAGCCTCCCACTGCCGCCGAGAAATCCGGCGACGCCTCGCCGTCGCTATCGCCATCGCCGTCGTGCTCGACCGTCGCCGTCTCCGAGGCGAGTGGTCACCACGTCCTGAGGATAGAGGGATACAAGAGGACGAAGATGATGATGGCAACCGGCGAACACCTCAACTCCGGCGAGTTCCACGTCGGCGGCTACACATGGCGTCTCCGGTACTATCCAAATAGGTACGACCAGGAGTTCTCCAGCTCGATATCCTTCGCTCTGGTGCGGACCGGCCGCGACGACGACGATGTCGTCGTCCGAGCACGCGTCAAGATCAGCTTGCTCGACGTCGCCGGCGAGCCGGTGACACGGTACAGCCACAGCGACAACAAGTGCACGTTCTACGAGGGACATGATCTCTGGGCCATCAAGAGCTTCATCAGGAGGGTTGATCTGGAGGATTCCGGGCATCTCGACGACGGCGGCGGTGGCGGCGACTCCTTCGCCGTCCGGTGCGACCTCACCTTCAACGTCCCGGACATCCGCGTCGACGTCGACGACGCGGCCGCCGTCACGGTGCCCGCCGTGCCGCCGCCTCTCCTGCATCGCCACCTCGGCGACCTCCTCGCCTCCGAGGCGGCGGCCGACGTGAGGTTCAATGTCGACGGCGAGGCGTTCGCGGCGCACCGGTGCATCCTGGCGGCGCGGTCGCCGGTGTTCCGGGCGGAGCTGTTCGGCTCCATGCGGGAGCGCGCCGCGAGGGCCATCGTCCGCGTCGACGACATGGACGCCGACGCGTTCGCGGCGTTCCTGCACTTCGTCTACACCGACGAGCTGCCGGAGATGGACGACGATGGCGAGGAGGCGGCGGCGGTGATGGCGAAGCACCTGCTCGTCGCCGCCGACAGGTACGGCATGGAGAGGCTGAAGAAGGTGTGCGAGGACGTGCTGTTCAGGCACGTCGTCGTGGCCACGGCGGCGACATCGCTGGCGTTGGCCGAGCAGCATGACTGCCCCGAGCTCAAGGACGCCATCTTGAGGTTCGTCACGTCGCCGGCGAGGTTGAAGGCGGACATGGCGAGCGACGGGTACGAGCATCTGATCACGAGCTTCCCCTCCATAGCCACGGAGATTCTCGCCATGCTTGCTGCTCAGTTGAGTACTTAGCGCATTAAGGATTTTTGGAACGCTAGAGTATTGTTCTAAGACATTAATTGGATGCTTTATGAAGATTTGTGCCGTTGTAAACTTTTAATACAAAATTGTTCTTTTGTAATTGGTGAAAAGACCGTAGTTCAATTAATTAGGTTCCTTGTTGTTGAATCACATATCTAGGTTTAAGCTCTAGACTTAACACGTGTGCTCATATTTACAACTAATTATTTTTCAGTGGTAGCTTACATAAATAAGATTTAGTCAATTTAAATATATGTTGATCCAGTTTTTCGGAACTCACAAAAATAGGGTACGGGGTATAGTTGGCTATAGGGCCCGATGGCTCGGCCCAAGGCACGAGGTTTTGGCCCGGCCAAGGCATGGCACGCCCTAGCTGTTGGGTCATGCTTGGGCCTATGCCTCGGCACGGTGGGCTGGCCTGACACAGCACGGACCGAGGTCGGCACGGTGGACTGGCCCGGCACGGCATGGTCCAATGGTAGGCACAACAGCGGCCCGATCCAATGGTCGACCAGGCCTGCCAGCCTGCCAAGCCCAAGGCCACGCGTGCCCCCATATATAAGCGGCAGCGTCTCCCCCTCCCCCCGCCCCCCCCAGTGGTTGCTCTCGTCTCTCGGTCAACCCTAACCCTAGCCGCCACATGCCACAACCATCAGCCACCGCCTAGCCACCCACCAATCCCGCCTCTGTCCCTCTCCCGCCCACCGGTCCTCCTCCACCGACCACCGCTCAGGCGCTCACCGATATGCCTCTCTTCCTCTTCGTCTTCGATAGATGTCTTGCCCGATGAGGGCCACTGACGGCGTCCTGCTAGGGGCATGAGGGCCACGGGCCACCAGTGAATCTGTCAGCTCTTCATCTCCAACTGCTGGATCGAGGGCCACATGCGCCATCTCTTTCCCTTTTGTTCTTCTTTGTCAGATCCACCCCAAGGCCCCAATATCCCTCTTGAGTATTGTATTCTCGTAGATCCGTGAGCTTATTGTCTTCAACAACAACTCCGGTGCACCGGCTACACAGGTACAAACGGACAAACTGTCGACGGGTGATATCCGTAGACCAGATATAGAGGGTATTGGGGTACGTTGGTACAAGGATCTACGTAATACGACATCGAGCAAACAAAAGACGAGGATTATACTGGTTCAGGCCCCTTGATAGGTAATAGCCCTAATCTAGTTGATATGAGATTATATGATGGAAAACCACAAGTTACAAAGGGAACGATGGAACTCGATGAAACCGGCGAGATCGTAATCGAGTTGGTTCGATTAGATCTCCCGGCGACTTGGCTCCTGCAGGCTCCGACTTCGTAGGCTGTAGTGGTTGTATTGGCTATGAGATTCGATGTCTTAGGTCCTCCCAGGGGGTCCCTTTTATATCGCAGATCAGGTGGTCTCAAAGTAGAACTCGGAGACATCGGACCCTACACGATATATTGACGACCCTGTCTTGTCCGAGTAGGACTCAAACACTGTGGAAGATTTCCTTAGTGTATGCGGATAATGTCCGTGTATGCGCGGGTATGCCATGTCGATATGTGGCGCATATCGAAGGGTAAGGGGTACACCTAACCCGTAAACCTGACAGTAGCCCCCGACTTCTGCTTAAATGAACTCGTGCGACCAATAGCGACTTCTGATGTCGAGACTGATGTCGTTCTCGGTGTGGGAACCATAGAGACAGGACATGATTGAGAACACCATGTGAAGCCCAACGGTCACGAGTGAATTTAAACTGAAGTCTGAAAAACCGCCGCGCGTAACGGACCCAGAAATTTCTGGCGGCCATGTCTCTCCTTTCCTTGGAATTCGCACCGTCGGAAGTGCGTCTATTTAAGGGAGTTTTGGGGATTCATTTGAAGTCCGCCTGTTGTGGAAAAATTCTCCAGCCTCCAAGCGCCTCTCGTCTTCTCTGCTCCCGCAAAAACCCCAGTTCATCAATCTAGGCCCTTTCTCCAGCAATCTTCGATTAGCGATGGACCTTGGCAAGTCATCTTCCACCAATGCGTCGCTGAAGGAGCTTCAGGAAGATGGCGCCCTTCCTGGTCGTGGAACCATGGAGAGGGCAGCAGGAGGTACTAATCCCCAGCCCGTCTTAGGTTGCATTGTTGCGATCGAAGACTATGTTCTCTGCGGTTTTCTCCCTCCGCCTTCCGAATTTCTCCTCCTGGTTTTGAACTTCTATGGTCTTTCTCTTCTTCATTTGAACCACAATTCTATCGCCTTTCTTAGCATCTTTGCTCATCTTTGCGAGGCCTACATTGGGGTAGAGCCTTTTCTTGATCTCTTTCGCTTCTACTACGAGCTGCGTTGGATGGAGTTCAACAGGGTATCTAGTTGCGTCGGGTTCTGACTTCGGGATGGCCTGAAGTCGCGTTATATCCCCTTCCAGTGCCCTTCTTCTCGCAGCAAATGGCGGAATAGGTGGTTCTATTTTGAGATCAAAAATTCGAACCCTGTCTTCATTGCTCCCACAGAACAACCAAACAAGATTTCGTCTTGGACCGCAAAGCCCCCTTTGACCCCCTCTCTTCAGTCGTTTATCGACATCATTGACGATCTCCGAGTACGGGGCTTGTCGGGGTATGAAGTCATTGCAGACTTCGTTTGTAGGCGGATCCAGCCGCTCCAGGCTCGGGCCCATCCAGCCTTTAACTATTCTGGACCGGAGGACACGACCCGGGTCTCTCCTCGGGGTATCTTTCTCTCATTTATCCTGACATGCTTATGTTTGCGTTCCTCTTGATTTATCGAAATTTGGTTCTCGATTCACAGGTCTGAACAGCAAAGCCGTGGAGCGCCACGTCGGGCAGGTGATGATCAGTGGTCCGACAACGGCAAGTAACATCCCCGTGCCCCTTTGTGAAAAAGGGGCGGCCGAACGTGATGACGCTATCAACGTAAGTGTACTCGATAGGAATCCCGCATTTTCCTTTCGAGATCACCTTATGACTTGATTAAGTGTAGGCTCTTCCTCTGACTGACATCATCGGGCCGCTCACGGACCATCAGGTGGCGGCGTCTCTAAAAGAGAAGGTCGCCAAGGAGGCGTCTGATGCTGCTGCGGCCACTACTAGTGGTGGCAATGTTCTGACAAAGGGGAGGAAGTTCTCCTCTGTAAGCGGACATCGTCGCAAGACGTCGACCCCCTCGGTAAGTTATCCTGTCGCCAGATCGTGCCGCCAGAAGGATTTTGCCTTACTTCGCATTGGTTGTCTTTCAGGCCTCGGACGCGTCTCCCCCGTCTCCATGACGACAACGTCTTGTAACGGTTGGCGAGAAGTAAGTAGATGGATTTTTAGGTTTCCGTAATTCCATTCAAGCGTTGTCTGATACGTGGTCGTCCCATAGGGAGGCGCGGGCAAAGGTTGCGCAAAACAAGTCCGGAGGGGCTTCCAGCGCGTCGCCTGCCGCGGCCTCAATGGATGTCGTACTCATAGCCGGGAGCCGGGAGGCGACGTCTAGCGGCCCAGTCAGCGATCCCGCGGTAGGTCATGGTCCACCAGCTGCCGTCCTCACCTGGGAGGAGCTCCAAGTCGAAATGGGGCGCCTCCTCGAAGCTGGTGCTCACGGCATCGGCCGCGAGATTGCACAGGCGAGGTCGGAAGCAGCGTTGGCGAACGAGCGTGCTGACCGGCTGGTGCGCGAGTTGGCGGAAGCTCGTGAAGACCTCACGAAGATGAGGGAATTGGTGGCCGGCAACGAGCGACAACGGCAGGGGCTTGAGGACCGCATGTCGGAACTCGGGAACAACCTGTCAGAAATCCGGGGCTCGTTGCGGGTCACCTACACAGGCCTGCACCAGCTTGCTGGGGAGTGCGGCATCAAGTCTACCATCCCAGTGAATCCTGACGAATTCTCGCTGACATCCTCCCTTGCGGAACTGGCGACGGCGATGGGGGAGATCCCCTCCAAGCATGCGGCCAGGATCGCGGAGGAGACGTCGAACGGGATCTACACCGGGGCGTGTCATGTCCTCGCATGAGTAAAGATGTCGCGTCCTGAACTCGATCTGCGCGAGATCTTTGATCAGGGGGTGGCTAGCAACACGCGTAAGGAGGTGATGAAAGAAGTCAGTGATCTGGGGGAGTCTGTTCTCCCCCTATTTGAAGAGTAGGACTTCTTGTACTTCCAAGACACGCTGTGTAAAACTTGAATTCTGACCGCCTTCGTGCGTGCAATTATCATTCTAGTTTACTCTTGTATGTTGACCTCGGGAACTTTTGTCCTTTGTAGAGATGTCGATGTCGAGGATGTCCAGTAGCGTGGGCAGCCTGAATTGTCAGCGATCCTTCCGGATCTTGCGTTTGTGGGACAAGCGTTGCTGGACAACGTGGGTGAAATTTTGCCCGCGAGAACAGGGACAGCGACGACTTCCTTAGGTTTGTGGTCTCTTCATCGCTTTTCGCTCCCCCGATTTGATCAGCTGTGTTCTCGAGAGAGAAAAGCAGTCTGACGTAGTCGTTTCCATGTTGGACAGACCTCGAGGACGCATTTGCTGGCCAAGATCGTCGTATCCAATATTGGAAAACGAAATTTGAAGTGGCGGAACTCGAGAGAGCCATGTTGGAAGTAAAAAAGGAGCAGGCCGTGGAAACGCTCCGAGGTCGTGAGGTGTGGTTTAACTCGTACTTGAAGAGTTGCTGCACATCCATGGCCAGAGTCTGCAGAGAACTTCGAGTGGTCCGCGGAGAACCTGAGGAGTCGGCGGCCGGATACATCTCGTGGCTGAACGGGGCCTGTGCTCAACTCGACGGCATCGGTAAGCGTATTGACGAGGCCTTGAAGCAAGAGTGTCGTCGATCGAGCCGATACGCCGGGGGGCACGTGTTGGCTTGCCTACGAGATCATCGCCGGCGTTTGGACCTCGAATTTCTCCGTGAGGGTTTTGCTCGTTCTCGGAGGACTCCGGTGGAGATAGACCATCTGGCGAGGTCGATGTCGCCGTTGGCAGAGAAGATCTTCTAGTCTATGGACTGGCGTTGGCCT